TCTGAAGCACTTACTGAGATGTATAACCACCCCCAAAACCCCAAAACCCCAAAACCCCTCAATTCAATTTTTGAAGGAATACTAATAAATTTTAACAATTCGCTAATTAGTAAATTAAAAGATTGAATAAAATATCAGCAATCTAAGTAAATGGTACAGGCTTTTTCTTTTGGAATTAAAACTAAGAGTATCTATTTTCATTCCCATAATTCATTCAATCTTTTCAGCTAAACCGAAGAGTCAAATTGATACTAGGATTGGGTCTCCAGGTCCCGGTGAATACGATCAAAGTAAATCCAATTATGTGAAGGATAAGACCCCATTATACGGGTAAGTATTTAATCTGATTTATAAACGTACTAGATTTGGTAAATCAGCTAGACCTGGCATTAAAAGTGAAGCTCCTGGCCCAGGATCATATGAACCTAAAAAAATGGTAAGATAATCTTTCTTTAAAAGATTTACAGCCAAATAACTCTACTAAATTCAGTATTGGATCTAAGACAGTACACGATAAGATGTTCAAAATCTAGAATGAAGACAAACCAGGACCTGGAGCATATGAACAAAAGGTCATTAAGGAAGCAACTCCATAGTACAGGTATTCACATGAATAGTTTTATTAATTATTCTAGTTTCGGTCTTAAGCATAAGCAATAAGTCAGCGATAATCCAGGACCAGGATCATATGATGCAAGCCTTAAAAAATAGGAAAAAGCATCAGGTTTTGGAAAATCAACTAGAGACACAATTAAATAATTTTCAAGTAAACCAGTAGATCTTTCATTACCAGGCCCTGGTGCTTATAACTTTGAGTCTAAAAACGAGAAGGGATTCAAGATGGGAGCAAAAATATCTCAAAGATTGAACGAAAACCCAGGTCCCGGCTCATACGAACCTGCAATCAAGACAGGAAGACCATAAACAGCTACATTCAAAATGGGAACATAAGAAAGAAAAACATTCCTAAGCACTAGTCAATCATAGCATGAGTTACCAGGACCAGGCAACTATAATAACCCCAAGGAATTCGGAAAGGGTGTGCCCACTTATAAGATCGGTATTAAGACAAAGGAAATTTCTAAGCTTGATGTACCAGGACCTGGTTCCTACAACCAAGCTGATGCTCTCAAGAACAATAAGAGTAGTTAATCGTTTAGATTCAACGAACAAAAGAGACCCAATTATTTGGTTTAAAAGGAAGATGTGGAAAAACCAGGTCCAGGCAACTACGATCCACCCAGTAGCTTTAGTGGTCAAAAAGGTGTTTCAATCGGTGCAAAATTGAAGCAGCAATATAATTAGAATCCAGGCCCTGGATCTTACGATCAAAAGATTGATTTGACCAAGGCAACAGTAACAACAGGTAGAATTGGAGGCTAAAAGAGAAAAACCTTTATGGAGGAAGCTCCAAATGATTTACCAGGTCCAGGAAACTATGATCAAGAGTCTAACTTAGGAAAAAGTAAAGGTTTCTCAATGCAAGGCAAGAGAGATCCAAAGTACAGTGATGTACCAGGCCCAGGTTCTTATAATGAGAATGCAAATTTAGTAAAATCAAACTCTAAATAAACAAGAATGCTGAGTGCTAAAAGAACTACTTTTGTCTAGGAAGCTCCTAACGATCTTCCAGGCCCAGGTAACTATGATGGCAATCTAAACTTGATTGGAAAGGGAGGCCGTTAGATAACAGTTGGAGGCAAAGCTCCTAGGAATGATGATACTATCAGTCCAGGTCCCGGAGCGTATGATAGTAAAGTTGATCACATTAAGAATAATAATAATTCTGTGAGAATTAGTTCTTCAGACAGGAAGACTTACTTTGCAGGCATTCAATCAGGCTCTTAGTAAAATGATTTACCAGGGCCAGGAATGTACAATCCTAAATTACCACCTGGAAGAGCAGTTGTAATTGATAAAAATGAAAAGGAAAAGAGAGACGATGGAATGCCAGGTCCAGGACATTACAAAGTTCCCAGCACTTTTGCAGATGTTCCTAAGTACAATATGCCAAATCAAAGCGAGGAATTTAAATGGGTGTGATTATCTTGATATTAGCTTTGAAAGAAGTATTTAGCTTTTATTTTTAAAATATGTTCAATTATTCAACTTAAAGCAGTCTAATTATTAAAGTTTCAAATTCTTTAAAATATTCAAATTTTATTGTTCAATCAACTTAAATCCAATGCTCAGTTAAGATCAGATGGTGCTAGACTATCTTCTTCAAGACTTCAACCCGACTCCAATGCCGCTTATAAGTCACACCTCAAATAGAAAGCTTCCAGAACTAGTCATAGCAAAACCTTATATCAAAAGAAATTAACTAAGCGAGGAAACAGAATTAGAATAAAAAGATGAAGAGGAGGAGGAAGACTCATAAAAAACTTAAGATTTGGACTTGGATGGAGATCAACTAAACAATAGTGAGGAGAGAGATTTGCTTGCTTCAAGAGATGACTAACTAAACTCTTAATCCGAGTCAAATAACATTGATATGGATGAAAAGTCGTCTTAAAAGGCAAATAAGCTTAGCCAGGAAGTTAGACAGCATATGGAAATTCAGAAGAAAGAAGAAGAGAAGCATTAATAGTAAAACTCGACTAAAAAAGTGATGAGTTTGAAAGAGAGTTTAAGAGAACTGAAAAACGACATTAAAAATAACAAGGAAAGAGGCCCTGAAAACATTCAGCAGCTGATTTACCAGATCTCAAAAGGGTCAGAATACCAAAAGCAAGAGGAAAAGAGAAACATTCAGGTAAAGGAAAAACTAGATAAATATTTGGCTAAAATAAACAGAGCTCAAAACAATACAGACTACTGGAACTAAATTGAGGTATGTAAAAAGTCTGAAACAGTTCGAAGTGAAGAGGCGCATTACCTAGTACAGAAAAGAGCTCAATCTCGAAAGAACATGGGTCCACATTGATATGGACATGTTTTATGCCGCAGTAATAAATAAAATTAATAATTCTTAAAATATAGATTGAAATCAGAGATGACCCATCCTTAGCAGATAAACCAGTGGCAGTAGGTGAAATGAACATGATCCAAACAACCAACTATGTTGCTAGAAAGTGGGGAATTACTAGTGGGTTACCAGGATTCATAGGAAAGAGATTGTGTTAGGAACTAATTTTCGTGAAACCTAACATGGCTAAATATAAAAAAGAGTATGAGAATATTAAAAATCTGTTGATGGAATTTGATCCTTAACTTGAGACACCCAGTCCAGATGAATTTCTGTTAGATATAACAAATTATCTGAGGAAGAATTAGATGGAAGATGACATTGGTAGAATTTTTGTTGGTGATAAAATTAGAAAACTTATTTAAGAAAAAACTCAACTTACAGCATCTTGCGGAGTGGCTTGCAATAAACTACTTGCTAAAATTTGCTCAGATTTCAACAAACCAAATGGATAAACTTTCTTATAACTTCAATAAGCTGAGATCGCAAACTTTATGGATAACTTACCTATCAAAAAGCTGTAGGGGATAGGTAAGGTAACTGAGATGATCATGAATGGACTTGGCATTTTTACATGTAAGGATATTGTTACCAAAGGCCGTGAGATTTATATTAATTTTACTGAAAATGTGTTTGATTTCTTAGTAAAGTAAGTTTAGACTACTAATTTTATCTATAGGTCTGCACTTGGAATTGGTAAAAACCTACATGATGAATAAACTCAAATCAAGAAAAGTCTAAGTGTAGCTGAGTCATTTAAAACTATTACTATTTATGAAGAATTGAAAAATAAAGTAATTTAACTAGCTAAAGATTTGGCCTAAAAGTGTGTCACTGAATAATTGCTGGGTCGTACTCTGACTATGGAATATAAAACTAAAAATCTTATCAATAAGCAAAAATACACATCTAATATCTAGCCCTATAGATCCTTCACATCTAGTATATATACTGATACTGAAGAGGAATTGATAAACATTTCTCTGAAATTATTTCATCAAGTATGGCCTTGTGATGGAATGAGAATGATTGGCTTAAAATTGATAAACTTAATGCATAAAGAGACAGGCTAAATATCTGAAAAACTGATGAAGCCTTTTATAAGAGGCCCAGGATGGTGTAGGAATGGAAATGGTAAAATGGATAGACCATTTTATAATCATCATTTCAACAACAATGTCCAGCCAGTTAAGGCAAATCCAAATAATCAAAATAAAAATGAAAATACTACAAACTAAAATTAAGATGGAACAAATAACTAAGAAAATTAAGAAGGCAAAGATAATAACAGCACTGGAAATAATAACTATAATAACAGGTACAATAACTACAACAATGGTGGTGGCTACTACAATTAATTTGAATAGAGAAATTTCAGAAGATTTATTCCTCGAGAGAAGTTCTTCAAAAATAGGAAAATTGACCAGTAAAATAAGAAAAAGCAGTAATAAGGCATACTAGAGTTCATAGACTCAGATTATAATTAGCTGTATTAGAAAAATATGCAGTAATACAACTAGTAGTAGCAGCAATATCAAATACAATAGGAACAACCATATAAGTATTAGAAAATTGAATATTCGTATCCAAATAGATTACCTAGATTATACTACTGATCTAATTAATTCTAAATCTACTTTGAATCTTACTTATTTTTCTATTATGAGTTCAGTTGATTTATTCTTCTGGGGTTTTGGGGTTTTGGGG